CAGAGATTTTATTTATTCTTAGAGGGGAAGGGAGGAAGAGGGAGAGAAACATGAACGTGAGAGAGAAACATGAATGTGAAAGAGAAACACTGATCAGCTGCCTCTCACAGGTGCCCCACACTGGGATGACCTGAGACCCACACACAGTCCAGGCATGAACCCTGAGCTGGAATTGAACGCGTGACCTTTTGCTTTGCTGAACAATGCCCAACCAATTAGCCACACTGGCCAGAGTTGAAAGTGTTCACGCTTTTACTTTCTGTTTTTTTTAAGATTATTTATCTTGGGAGAAGGGAAGGAAAGGAGAAAGAGGAGGAGAGAAACATCAGTGTGTCACTGCTTCTCACGCACCCCCCACTGGGGACCCAGCCCGCAACCCAGGCATGTGCCCTGACTGGGAATTGAACCTGCGACCCCTTGATTCACAGGCTGGCACTCAATCCACTGAGCTACACCAGCCAGGGCGGAAAGTATTTACATTATTAAATGGTTGAAAAGAAACAAAAGAATCATGTTTTGTGACAGGTGGAAACGATATGACATTCAAATTTCAATGTCGCAAATAAAATGTTGGAATCACATCCCACCTCCCCAAAAGATGAGACCTCCTGAGAACAAGTCCTGCCTCCAGCCTCTAGGGGGCTGTCAAGCTCTTGCCAAGACCCCTCCACCCAGGAACCCTGAGGACAGCCGGCTGTGCCTGCCCCTTGAGCTTGGTCTGCCCAGCCTTGTACCAACCAGCCTACCTTACTGAATTTATGTCCCAACTGTTCCCTTGCAGAAAAAGACTTTTAAAAACCAAGAAGGCCTGTTCACCTGTCCCAGGACATTTTCTACCTCCTGCTTAGACCCCCAGGAAACCTTCCCTAAGAAGCCTTCCTTCCTGGGGGTGGGGGATGAGTCATCTGAGTGGGTGGGTCACCTTACCAAGTGGACTGAGCACTTCTCTGGCCAGACTTTGAAGTTCATCTCACCCTGCTCCCCCGCCCACCGCCTTCATCTCATGCCCTGTAGATGGACGTGGGCTGGGCAGGGGCAGAAGAAAATACCTCCTGGTAAGGTCCTGGATGAGGAAGGCTGCACAAGAGTGGGACAGAAAGTGTGTGCCAGCCCGAGCAGTTGGTCCTGGGCATTGGAAGCTGGCTCATCCTGTCTCCTCCAGGGGGCGCATTTACTTACAGAGCATCTCCCAGCACCAGGCACCCATCACAAGGGCTGCAATAATAAGCACATTACTCCAGTCTTGTTGCTTACAGTTTAGGGGAGACCTTCATCAGGAAATCACCATGATGGAGGGAAAGTATTTTATGCTAGGAGAGCAGAGACAGAGACCCTTGATGGTGTGTGCGTCAGATTTTCCTAAAACAGTGGCATTCCCACTGCCAGCACATCCTGTCCTTAACAAGGCCTGAGCTCAGGAGATGCTATGTTACCAGAGCCTTCAACACGGTGGAGTTTTATCAGAGCTTGACAAACCTAGAGAAAGGACAATGTCCAACTCGGCCCCCTCTACCTACCCCTGTGAATGGAGCCCTGCCATTCACAGTACACAGCACTCTGGAAACACACCCTCCCCCCTCCCTGAGAAGCTTGCGGGGAGCACACAGCCCAGGCCACAGCCTCACTCAAAGATCAAGACCTTAGTCATAAGCCTGTAGAATGCTTCCCCTTCCTCACGCCTTCCCGCCATGTCACTAAAGGCCTATTTTACCTAGTACATTCTGTCTGGCTTTCAACAACCAAAAAAATGTTTTTCAAATACAGGACTGGCCCTAGCTGGTGTGGCTCAGTGGACTGAGCACTGGCCTCCAAACCACAATGTCGCCCGTTTGATTCCCAGTCAGGGCACATGCCTGGGTTGTGGGCCAGCTCCCCAGCTGGGAGCATGCAAGAGGCAACTGGTGGATGTATCACCTGCACATTGATGTTTCTCTCCCTCTCTCTAAAAACAGATAAATAAAATCTTTAACCAAAAAGGTAAAAAATATATGGGACATACTAAAAGGAAAAAGTGCAGTTTGAAGAGGCAGCAAGCATCACAACCAGACTCAGATAAAGTAGTGATGTTGACATTAAGCGCACCTGGAATTTTCAAAAAGAAAAAAAAAAAAAGGTGACATTCCCTGACCTGCAGAAGGTGCCAGCTCCCACAGGCCTCTGGTCATTGCTGCGCAGGGCCATGGCGACAGTGAGGACTGGCTCTGGCCCACTTGGAGGATGGGCCCACTGGTCCTAAGATCTACCCAGAAAGTCCTTCCTTCTGGAGGGGCTCCGCACCTAGTCCTAGGCTGACTAAGGGGTTTTCAAGAGGCTGTCACTCGTGTTGGGAGCCCTGCCATTCACAGTACACAGCACTCTGGAAACACACCCTCCCCCTCCCAGTCACTGTCCCAGACCTCCGCTAGCTGGCTCCTCACAGAGGGGGAGGTCCTGATAGCCACAAAGTCCAAAGACCTCCGTCAACCCCCCTCTACCACCCCCAGCCTGCTCTTTCCAAGACCTCTGGTGGTGGTTAACCCTTCCTCACTGGGGCTCAGCAGAGCACAGTGTGCCAGGCAGCACAGGGGACAGAAGTGGGGTGGAACCAGGGCTAGGGGTCAAGGCCGATGGGTTGGGCCAAAAGGAGCGTGTTTAAGAGCCCATGGTGGCCCCTGGGCAGCTCTCCTCTACAAAATGCCAGCCTCTTGCAGCCGCTTCCGCAGGTGTCTCCAAGTATTTGCCGTCCTGCAGTGGGTCTTCTCCTTCTTGGTGCTGGGTGAGGCCCTCAAGCGCTACCCGGAACCTCCTCACACCCACCTGGAGCTCTGCTTCCCCGTTACAACAAGGGAGGGAGGTGGAGCAGGGTCTCCGGGGTCCTTGAAGAAGTGTGAAGGAATTAGGTGGGACAGGAGAGGGGTCAAAGAGGAAACCTGGGACTTAAACGCCTGGGTCCTGAAACCGCCTTCCCCATTCTGCAGCTCAGGTGTGCCTGGCCGTGCTGCTCCTTGCACTACTAGGCCCGGCCTGGACCCTAGCGGTCCTCTACCTGGTCTGGCTCTATGGAGACAGGGGCACCCCACAGGCAGGAGGTCGCCGATCTGCCTGGGTCCGCAACTGGGCCGTCTGGAGACATTTCCGGGACTACTTCCCCATCTCGGTGAGGGTCCCCAGGGACCGGGTGTCGAGTTGGGGTCGGGGATACAGAATAGACGCTTCCCAACGTCATTCCCCAAAGTCCAATCTCGTCGTCGGGGTTGGGTGTGCACCCTCTGCCCCCCAGCTGGTTAAAACAGCAGAGTTGGATCCCTCCCACAACTATCTCTTCGGCTTCCATCCTCACGGCGTCCTGGTCATCGGAGCCTTCAGCAACTTCTGCACAGAGGCCACGGGCTTCTCACGCACCTTCCCCGGCCTCTGCCCGCACCTGCTCATGCTGCCCTGTTGGTTTCATCTACCTCTCTTCCGGGACTACATCATGTGTAGTGGTGAGGAGTGGGGAGCCCGGGCTCTGGAGCCCTACTTCCTGCTGTCACCTCTTACCCGCATTCCTCCCGTCGCGGGGCGAGGGGGCGGGGGCTCCTGGTCCTAGCGCTACCTGCCCCTCCTCCCTCTCCTCTGCCCTGGAAGACCCAGGCGGCAGCCGCCCCCCACCCCCACTCTCCGGCCTTTGCCTTTCCCCAGGTTTGGTGTCCTCCGCCAAGGCCAGCGCGGCTCATCTGTTGTCCCGGCCCGGGGGCGGCCAGGTGGCGGTCCTGGCCGTAGGAGGGCCCCTGGAGGCGCTGGAGGCAAAGCCCGGAGCGCTGAGTCTCCGGATCCGGAATCAGAAGGGATTTGTCAAGTTGGCGCTGGAACACGGGTGAGGGAGCCGGGCGGCCCGAGGGGCACACCCTGGACTGCCCTGTGAAGGAGGAGAACAGCGTGCCCCTGGGCCCAGAGTCAGGTGTGCCTCTGCTCGCCCAGGGCCTCTCTGGTGCCTGTCTTCTCTTTCGGGGAGAACGAGCTCTTCCAGCAGTTTCCGAACCCACCGGGCTCCTGGGTGCGGAGGGCTCAGGAAGCGCTGCAGCGCGTGCTGAGCGTGGCGCTGCCGCTGTTCCACGGCCGCCTGGGCCTCCTCCTGCCCTTCCGCACGCCGGTCTGCACCGTAGGTGAGCCAGGGCCCGCCCACTCCTCGGGTGCTCAGCCCTCGCACGCTTCCCGCCCCGGGCTGCGAAGGTCACTGGTTGGGGCCTGTGATCCTGGCTGCCCCGCCTGGCTGTGGGCCACACAGACCTTTGACTACCGCCGGGGCCGCGACCTCCGTTCCCGACGGTCGCTGCGGGCGGGAGGGAAGGGGGAGGAGAGGCAGTCCCGGCGACCGCTGTCTCCCCGATCCGCTCACAGTAGGGGCCCCGATCCCGGTGCCCCGGACCCCGCGGCCCAGCCGGGCGCAGGTGGACGCACTGCACGCGCTGTACGTGGAGAGGCTCACGGGGCTGTTCGAAGAGCACAAAGGGCGCTACGGGATCCCGGCCGACCGGCACCTCGTCCTCACCTAGGCGCGCCGCCGCCTCCCACTTCTTTCTTACTGGATGCCTCGGTGACTGGGAGAGGGGGTATTGGAATTAAAGGCGGGAACAGACTGTCAGTGTTGGTGTGTTTGTGCACAGCCGGGGAGGTATGCGCGCGCCCCCGCAGCCCACCTCCATCTCCTACCCCCTCCCTCCCCTCCTGGCCGAAGCTCCAGTTGGCCTTGACACTCCGGGAGACCTTCCAACAGACCCCGGGCGCGCGTCGAGGGCCTGTCGGGCTGCACTGAAGCTCAGACTGCGGTGGAGGCCCAGTCCTCGAGCTCTGCAGCGTCTTCCCAATCCTTTCCGCACGGCGGTTGCCTCACTTCCCTCGCACAGCCCCTCTCTCCTCCCCGCCCTGCAGCCAGCCCAGGCTCAAAGACTCTGGAAGCTCAAAGGCCAGTCTCAGAACATCTTCGAGACGCCCGGGTCCAAGGATCTCCTCATCCACAACTCGCCCCGGCACACACACGCATCCGGGGAGGTCCCAAAGGCTCCGCCCCTGGACAAGAAAGCCTCCCCAGACACCTGCGGGAACCTTCCTCATTTGTCCTCTGGGTGCTGGAGACCTGCAGGCAGAGGGCAGCTACTGGGATAGGAGTCTCCGCTTTCCTGCGGCCCTCCTGCACCATGAAGACCCAGCAGAAGCAGTGGCTGGAAGTAGCGAGCATCTACCATTACGTGCTAGTTTTTCTCTTCCTGGGTGCGAAGGGTGGGAGAGGCATGGGTGTCCCGGGTCTGCAGGGGGAGAAGGGACTGGGAGGAGAAAGGCTGGAGTTCTACTCACCTGGATGCCCGAGGGCAAAGAGAAGGGGAGAAGGTCCACTGGGGATGAGAGTTAGCAGGAGGATAAGATATGTGAGGGTGGAGGAAAGGAACCTGGATGAAATGCCTGTTTCAAAAGCTAACTGGTTTTTCTTTCTCATCTTTCACCCAGGTCTTTTCTCAGCCCTTGTTTTATTCTGCCTCCTCTTCACATCCCTCTGGCCATTTTCTGTTCTCTACTTTGCATGGCTCTTCCTAGACCGGCACACACCCAACCAAGGTGAGTTCTGGAAAGGGGATCCGTGCATTGAGAAATGGCAGCTCGGTGCCTCCACGGCTTCTTCCACCCCTGTCTCTCTGCCCCAAGGTGGAAGGCGGTGTGAGTGGATGAGGAACTGGACCATTTGGAAACATCTAAGGGATTATTATCCTATCAAGGTAAAAGGTTACCCTCCAGAGAGACACTCTGCCACCTCCCCCTCCCTCCCCTCTCCCACCTATTCACTACTCCCTGTGCCGGAGCCTGGGCCCCAGCTGCCAAAGGTAAGGCAATGGGGCAGGGGGTGGAATGGTGTTCAAGAGTGGGCCCCTCTGCCCTTGGGACCTTGAACTCTGAAGTCTGTTGGGGTGGGGGGAAACACTTTTCAATGGGTGTCCTGATTTCTATGCTTTCTTCCCCTCATTTTGGCCAACACCCTAAAGCTGGTAAAAACAGTAGAGCTGCCCCCTGACCGGAATTATGTGTTCGGCTCTCACCCACATGGGATCATGTGCATCGGAAGCTTCTGTAATTTCGTCACAGAGGGCACCGGTTTCTCCCAGCTGTTCCCTGGGATTCACCCCTCAGTAGTCGGGCTGAACTTACTCTTCTACCTCCCAATCTATCGTGACTACATCATGTCTCTTGGTGAGCTTCCAGCTGAGTGGGAGGGGGTGCCCTCCGGCCAGGGTAGCCCCCACCCACTCAGCTCAGGGATCTGGCGACACGAGCCAGGTTCACAGACAGCATCAGTGAACAGCTTTGGAGCAAGTGTCCTTGCTGGAACAGATACCACAGAGCACAGAGACACGGGCATGGTGGAGAGGGGAGTTTGGAAGGAATGGGCTGTAGAGCTCACCCTTCAGATTCTAAAAGATGGCGTGAGGGGCTGGGGAGCCAAGCAGGGGGTGGTGACTGCTCCCCACCTCCTCATACCTGCAGGATTATGTTCTGTGAACCGCCGGGGCCTGGACTTTATTCTGTCGCGGCCCCAGCTCGGGCAGGCCGTGATCATCATAGTCGGGGGTGCCCAGGAGGCCCTGTTTGCGATCCCAGGGAAGCATCATATTGTTCTCCGGAATCGCAAAGGCTTTGTGCGCCTGGCACTGAGGCATGGGTGAGTGGGGTGCTGGTGCCCGGTCCAGGGCTGCTGTTTTTTTTAAGATTTTGTTTATTATTTTTTATCTTTTTAAAGGTTTTAGTTTGTTTTTTAGAGAGAGAGGAAGGGGTGGGGAGAGAAACGTCAGCGTGTGAAAGATTGACTCTCCCAGGCTGGCACTCAACCACTGAGCCACGCCAGCCTGGGTCAAGTCTGCTTTTAATGGTCAGAACTTCACAGTGTGTCTGGGGGTGCACACTCCCCATCCCTACATACCCAGCTCCCTGTAGGTTGGGTTGTGTGTTCCCAGAGTTTACACTGTGCCCTAAACCAGAAGGCATGTGTGTCAGTGCTTGAGTGTTTACTCTGCACCAAGCACTATGTCCACTTTCCAGGCTTCCTCTCACTCCAAGAGAGTCAAGGTCATGGTGCAAATAGCAGACTCTTCAGATCAGATCAGGGGTTCAAATCCTTCTCTGGCACTATTTGAAAAGCAAGGCCTTAGCCATGTATCTTTACCTATGAAACAGAGTTAACCCCTGACTTGCAGTGGTGTAGTTGTAATAACCAGATGAAGAAATGTGTACAGGAAGGTCCAGCATACAGTCATTTCTCAGGAAATGGGAGTCCCCTCTTCCATATTTTTCTCTGTAGCTGTTGTCATTTGCTTTAAAGGCCTTGGGAAGCGGAATCATGAGGTGTGGGGAGGGGCATGCTGTTCCCTGGGGCTCCAGGAGCTGCTGACCTGACCACCGCTCTTCTCTGTTGCCTCTCCTTCCCAGGGCCTCCCTGGTGCCTGTGTACTCCTTTGGGGAGAATGATTCCTTCAGACTTAAGTCTTTTGCCCAAGACTCCTGGCAGTACCTGTTCCAGATGACCTTCAAGAAGCTCATGGGCTTTTCTCCTTGCATCTTCCACGGCCGCAGTTTCTTCTCTGCTAACTTCTGCGGCTTGCTGCCCTTCCCTGTACCCATCACCACTGTGGGTGAGTCCTCATTTCTAGGGAAGAAAGCTGCCATCAGCTGCATGGGCAGCAGAGGCCTCGCCTCACCCATCTCCCCTCTCCCTGCAGTGGGCCGCCCCATCCCGGTGGCTCGGTGCCTCCACCCCACCGAGGAGGAAGTTGACCACTACCACAAGCTCTACATGAAGGCTCTGCAGGAACTGTTTGAGGAACACAAGGAAAGCTGTGGTGTCCCTGCTTCTACTCACCTCACCTTCATATAGCCCTGGCCCTGCTCCTGCCCCACTCCCGCCCATGAGCTCCTGATCCCAGTGCGATGAGACCCTCCCCCGCCCCCCACCTACTGCCACATCTAGTCCTCCAATAAAAGCTAGTTCTCTTCCACTACTCTGTGGAGTCCGATGCTTTCAGGGCTGACATTCTGGCTCTGGGGGTTAGCATGCCCAGGCATAATCAGCGCCCATCCTAATGTGCTACAGAGCTGCTGCCTTAGATTGGGTATCAGGACCCTAAACTCTTCTTCCAGTAAGAATTAATTCTGCTGAGTGAACTTGCATAAGTCTCTTCCCTTTGCTGAGCCCCTTCTCCCTCTGTAACTGAAGTTATCTGCTTAGCTAAGAGGCATTCGGACTAAGTGGGGGACGGTGGCTGCAGGAGGAGTAGGCTTTGAAGGATAAGCAGGGTTTAGGTAAGTGGAAAAGATAGTGTGGACAGTGGAATACTATGAGAAAAGCTGAGCGCTAAGCTTGGTCCAGGGTACCTGATAGTATAGAGAATGGGATGATCCCAGTGATAGAAAAGATAGTTAAGTGCATAGCTTGCTTCTGTACCCCCTCCTCATTCTTGAAGTTTCCTTGGGGCTGGGAGATCAGATGAAGCAAAGATTTGTTTTACCAGCAGTAAGCCCTGCTGTAAGCCCAGCATTAGGTCACCATTTGCTCATTTGCTTAATAAGCATAGGACTACTGTGAAGATTAAAGAATTCAGATTTAGGGGCTTAGAAGAGAGATTGGCAAAATGAGTCAATGAGAGTTTGCTATCACCGTCATCATTACAGGTATGGCATCAGTCAAATGAGACGGTCAGATTAAATAGCCTAACAGTCCTTATGTAGTCATAGAAACTTTTGTCAGTCCTATTTGTTGACTGGCTTTGTGTCTGTATTTAAACAAGATTAACTTGTTTGAATGGAATTGGAATGTAACTTCTCCCACTTTCCTAAAATTTATTCAGTGGAAGAATTTTCTCTTGTCCCTGGATAAGAATCTTGGCAGTCCCATGACTTACCTGGGTCATTCTCAAGTGATAAGTTCTATATTCATTTTAACTTAGTACGTAGAAATAACTAGTTCATAACTGACACTTGGATCTTCAGCGAGGGGTAGGAATTATCCCCTCTCCAGCAAGGGCTGATTGCAAGTGGGCTGCCTGCTTGCCCACAAGTGGCCATTGAGGAAGGCAGAGTAGAAAGGGGTGGGACTGACTTCTTTCCACCCCCTCCCTTGCCAGCTGCTGTTACTGATCCTTATGGGGTTGAAGAGTGGAGCAGGAGAGGGAAGGGGGGCCCACGAGTTCTTGATGGCATTGTCATAAGATAATAATGTGTTCTCCGGACCTCGAGATCTTCAAAGTCTTTTTCTTCTTGGTACTCCCATGGATTCTTTGAAGTTGTTGTGTTTGTTTGTTTGTTTTTAAGATCATATTCATTTTAGAGAGAGGGCAAGGAAAAAAGAAAAAGAGCATTGCCTTTCACAAGCTCCAACTAGAGACCTGGCCCACAACCCAGGCCTGTTCCCTCTTCAGAATCGAACCAGAAACCTTTAGGTTTGCAGGATGATATGCCCAACCCACTAAGCCACACCAGTCAGGGAAGGATTCTTTGAAGATTTCCCTTAAAGCCCCTCTGGCATCTTCTGTACTTTCTCTGTCTTATTGTCCATCCCTGGTTTTCTGCCCATGCACTCAACATAGGGTTATCTTCAGTTCTTTACTCTTCTGGTCTGGGGGGTGGGAAGAGGGATAGAAAAAAACAGCCCTAGCTTCAAGCATTCTCAGTCCTGATACCTTTAGACTGCAGGCCGACCTTCATGTGGCCACTTGTTCTTCCTTCTGTCCTGGCCGGAAGTCCTAGTCAGCCACTCTCTGGTGACTGGATTTCTCCAATGGACACCTCCGCCAAACACTGGAACATACCAAACTCTTTGTGTCTTGAAGCCTTTTGTCACAGACCTTGTTAAAGTAATCCTTGCCCTCTGATGGCAGGGCTTTAAGCAATCTCAAAGTCCTCCCCAACCCTCCTCTCTGTCTCCAAACTGATTCTTGCCATGGGTGAGGGGCTCAAGAGTCACTTCTCAATCATTTCTTTTAAAAATGTGGCATGTGAAGCCCTGGCTGGTGTAGCTCAGTGGACTGAACGTGGGCTGCAAACCAAAGTGTCGCAGGTTCGATTCCCAGTCAGGGCACATGCCTGGGTTGCAGGCCATGGCCCCCAGCAACTGCACATTGGTGTTTCTCCCTCTCTCTCTCTTTCTTCCTCCCTTCCCTCTCTAAAAATAAATAAATAAAAAATCTTAAAACAAATAAAAATATGGCATGTGGTCTGGTCTGGTCACTTATGGAATGGAAGACCTACTTACTGCATCTCTGTGCCTCAGCCCAAACTTCATGTTCACGTCTTGCGTGTTTTTCTCTGGGTCCTTCCCTGGAGGGCCAAAGATCCAAACTGGCCACCAAGAGCTAGGGTGTGGGGATTAGATCACTCTGGGCCTTTCACCAAGAAGACCCCTGCTCTTTTTCTTCCCTAAGAGCAGTGGGTGCCCCTTTCTAGGATGGTGGGCTTGGGCTGGGTAGTAGGTAAGGAATGGGAACTTTGTGTGGGACTTGGAAGCAGGGAAGTGGGGAAAGGCCCCTGTCTGAAATCCAAGACAAATGAAATCATGGTGAGGAGCGTGAATAGGCCTGAAGCTGGAGAGGAATAGGAGCAGCCAAGAGGCTCAGTTAAGAAATGGGGTTAACCCAAGGGCCAGAGATATGATCAAAAGGACAAAGTGCTCCCAGTACCTTTGAAGACAGTAGGGCAAGGTTCTCAGGAAATATGCCAGGTCTGCTCTTGGAGAGAGGAAGAATTGGAAGGGGACATTATCCTCTATGTGGAAACATCTGGGTTGGGGGACAGACCACAAAACAAACTAGAAAGGTACAGGAAAATTAACATCAGGTTTCTATCTCTGGGAGAGAGACTTGGAATCCACATGTGAGTATTGGGGACAGACTGGCAAGTAGAATATGTTACTTCAGAGGGTTGTGGAAAGACTTACATGGCAGAAAGAGACAGAAATGTCAGCCCTGGACAATGACTAGTGTGTTCTTCCAGGGTCCCTTGGGCAAGATGAGTGCCGCTTCCCTGCTCATCTTGCCAGCCTGGCATCCTTCCTGTCCACTGTGACCGGCCACCGGCAGCCCTCCCCCACCATCATCCACTCTCTGAGTGTGCCGTCCTCTCCAGGAAGCCAGCCCAGACTGGGAGGAAGCCCTGGGCATCAGAAGTTCCTGCCAAGATTCACACCCTTTCTTGAGCCTCCCCAGGTAACCTCTGCTGTCATGCTGTGATCCTAGCCTCTCTGAGGCACAGGTCCTCTGATCCCCATTTTCCTCCTGTCATTTGGCTTTCCAGACTTCCTTCATCAAGCACCTTTTTTGGGTGGGACTTAGTCTAAGAGGCTGGAGCCTCATATGAAGAAGAGTCTAGAGTTCAGGTGCCAGGTCCATGTCTGTGCAAGGACGTGTCTGGTCCATGTACTCCCACCAGTCTGTGCAGATCCCAGGTCACAATGTCCAGGCCACGGGTATAGCCTGCTAGACTGAGATACCAGGTGAGACACTCAGAATGGCCTTCAATCAACTATTTCCCAGCAGCTGCTATCATATGGGTTCCAAATAAAACTCACATTGGAACTAAATCCCCCAAACTCAATTACCAGCTTGGCCTTTGTGCTGAGCTTGGCTGAGGGGTCAGGCTCAGACTTTGACCAACACTGGAGCCCCTGCAGGAATTGAGACTCAAAACAGGATGAGCTCGAGCCCAGGCCCCAGGATCAGGGGGCGGTTCCTTCCAGTTCCTGCCTCTAGGTCCTAGGTCCTGACTAAGAGACGTGCCACAGGGCTGCCCTGGTGCTGTGACAATGGACATTTATTGGGAACAGAAATAGGACAGAGTTGAAAGGCACATATTTCAAGGGGAGGCTTGTCATAAAACCTGGGTCTGAAGACCTAATGTTGTCCATGTCCATCTTAGCACCTCAGGGGTATGGCAGGGAGAAGGGTCAGGGAGTGGTCAGAGAGGGAAGGGCACCTATCTCTGAGTCCCACAGACCTGGCTTTGAATCTCAGCTATTGACCATGACCTTAGCCAAGTCATTCAACCTTTTCAATCTACAGTTTCCCCCGGTAACATGGGGCTCCCTACTTCAGAGTTAGGTTGTTTTTTTTTAACTTTTCATTGAAATACAACACAGACAAGTGCACAAATCATAATAAGACACTGCTTGAGTTTTCACCAAAAATAACCATATACACACAGTTATTTTGGGAAGTGAATAAGATGCACGCAAGCTCATGGGACAGCTGCACAAATGTCTTTGTGCTTAGGTTGAAGGAAACTGTCATCCACCGGCTTCCCACTGCGCTCTACCCTTAATTTCTCTGCTGGGTGGGCACCCATTCACCCACAATGCATCTGGAAGGGAACATTTGGAAGCCTTTTTGTAGAATGAGGAGAAAGGCCAGCACAGCAGCGGGCTAGGGTAGGGAGGAGCCCTCACAACTGGTAGAGGAGACAACCCAGCAGGCCAGAGGAAGTTAGAGCAGATCATTGCAGCTGTTTTAGAAGCGCCAGACCCGACAGTGAGAACCCTGCTGGGGTCAGACTTGAGCCCTGTGCTGTCCCTATTCACCTACCACATATGCAGACCCTAATGTGCTTTGGGACTCTGGCCACAACCTCTCCGAGGTGGGCTCCTCTCCAGTCCTTCTACCAGTCGTTCCTTCTGAGTTCCACCCCTGCGGGTCCTCCCCTCCAGCTCATCCCTCTGGCTCTGAAAACTCATCCAATCACCTCTGTGTATTCAATGAGCTGTGTATCCTGAACTGCCCGCTGCCACCAGAGGTTATCATTGCCCAGTCACAGGCTGGAGATGCTAGAATCACCTGCACCTTCTTCCTCTCCCCCCACCCTTCAAGACCCCACTCAGACTTCCTAGCCTCTTCTGTTTTTCTTCTAAACTATTTTTAGCTTCTCCCCTTACTCCATGCCTCCGTCCTTCCCCCCTCCCATGGACTTCCTCTGGGACCACTCTTCAGAGGTCAGAGGTCTTGTCTCTCATCTTCTATCTACCACCTTCTCATGTTCTCAAGATGCTCTTCTTAAAACAGTTTTCATCGTGTCATTCTTCCTACTCACTGTCACCAGATCCTCATTATTAGAAGGTGTAAGCTCCTCAGCAGAGCATCCCACAGCCAGAGCATCCCACAGCCAGAGCCCAGCCCAGTTTCCCATCTACCCTTAGCATGCTCTCCTTCCTGTCACTGGGGTTCAGCCCACCGTCCATCCTGGGGACTCCCACCGTCAAGTCACAGCTCAACTTCAGTGTTTTGCACTTAATAGCTGTCGACTTTGTCAGACTTATTTGACTTCTCTAAGCCTTAGTCACCTACACCATGAGCTTTGCACAGTGTCTGGCAGGGTACTCAGTGTTAGCTATTTTCACCATTTTTCCTGCCCACCTCTTCCACAAAATCTTTTCCTAACCAAGACCACATCACAAGAATTACATCATGTGATCACATTATGTGAACCTGTTAGTGGGATTCCCTCTCCTGGGTCCTAGCCTTGTTTACAAGAGAAGAATTCAGGAGAGAGACAACACATATAGTGAAAAATGAGATAGCAAGTTTATTTATGAAATACACTTGAGCACGAAACTATAGGCAGGCACCCAGCTAGTCTGAATGCCCCACATATAGAGGAAATAAAGTTGTTAGTAAGTTTGTTCTATACACTTGAGCTCAGAGCTGCAAGTGGGCACCCAGCTAATCTGAGTGCCCCGACTATTGGGGCTCAGGAATTATAGGCTTTAATCAGTTTTTAAGTTCCCTCTCCTCTTCTCTCTTTCAGACCTTGAGACAGTTACAAAGGCTTTCTTTCCCAGCTAATGGACACAATACACACAGAATTTCAAGGGCTCCCCTCCTCCCGTGCCATCATAATTTTGCTTGTGATGTTGGAACACCTGGCAATCTTATCAGATGAGGCTCAGGGCTGCTGAATCAATGGGTGAGACATGTCTCCCTTTTGTTTCTAGCCTCCTGTTTTAAGTTCTTTATGATACTGTACTGGGTAGGGCCGTGCTTTATTTCCCCTCCGGCCGCTCATTCCTGACTGCTACCTAACAAACCTTCACATTATGCAAACCATTGTTTTACAACACCAATATATAGTTTGTTTATTATCATCTATCTCCTATTACTAAATGCCAACATAGAGAACAGGAAGTGCGCCTTGCTGTTTTTACATTTTGACCATGTCTTGGTGATCACGATGGTTGGCACATGGTGAGTGCTGAACAAATGAAATGAGTGCAATAGACCTAGAGTAGAGGGAGGGTGGTTGTAGGGTGTGCCGTGTATCAGACACCCAGCTGGGGGTGGGAGTGAATGCGGATTTCCTGCACTGAGTTGAAAGTGGGGTGGCATCCACCATGGGAAGAAAGAGTGCTAAATTTGTTTCCTAAGGCTGCCATAAAAAATATCTTTTACTTGGAAAATTAAGGCAACAAAATTTTATTGTCTCACAGTTCTGGAGGTCAAAATCAAGGTGTTGGCAGGGCCATGTTCTCTATGAAATCCTTAGGAGAGAAATTTTTCCTTCCCTCTTCTAGCTCCTGGAGTTGGCCATCTACTCTTGGCTTACAGCTGCATCACCCCAATCTCTACCTCTGTTGTCACATGGCACTCTCCCTCTATGTCTGTGTCCAAATTTCCCTCTTCTTATAGGATACCAGTCATACTTGATTAGGGTCCACTCTTATTCCATATGACTTAATCTTTACTTTGTTTATATCTGAAAGAATCTATTTGAAATACGTTCACTTTCATAGTTGCTAGGAATTAGACTTTCAACATATCTTTTTGTGGGACACAATTCAACTTATAAGCACCTTTTTTTCCATTGGAGTTAACACTCAATATTATTTTATACTAGTTTTAGGTGTGCAGCATAGTGGTCAAACAATTATATAGTTTACAAAATGATAACCCTATAATTCTAGTATCTGTCTGGTGTAATCAAAAGCAGTCTGGCTGCCTGCTGATACAAAAGCCAATATTCTACAGGCAGGTGCTGGTGTAAAGGAAAGTGGTTTATTCAGGTGCCGGCCACTGGGAGATGGGGGATTCATGTCACAAAGCCAATCTCCTGGAAAGATGGAGGGCTCGTGTCCAAATCCCATCTCTACATCTCAGTGGAGGCAGGGGTTTTTATAAGGAGGGAGAGGGGAACAGAACAAAAAGAACAGGGAAGGGGATTGAAAAGTTGTCTACATGCAGACTAGCATAGTCCATTCCAATAAGGCAAGTGATGGTCCAGTGTGCGTCGTCCTGGTTTAGTCATTCTGGCTCCACATCATCTGGGCTTCATATCATCCTGACTCCACAGTTAAAGGTCAGCAAATCTCCTGAAATTGGGATGCCTGAAGGTCAAAGTCTGTATCTTTTGAAGTTAGTTCCTAGGATTCTTATATAAACATGCTGTTCATCTGCAAGCTACGTATTAGTCAGAGTCTGCACTTATAGAAACAATGTAAAAAGAATGGTGGAGTAGGTTATAGTTTCCCACCATTAACAATTATCTGCTGTTGCCCTGGCATCATTCATAGTTATTACAATATTAGTGACTGTATTCCCTGTGCTGTATTTTCCATTCCTGTGACTATTATGTAACTACCAAGTTGTACATCTGAATTCCTTCAGCTTTTAAAAAAAAGTTTTATTTATTGATTTGAGAGAGAGAGAGAAACACCAATTCGTTGTATACTTATTTATGCACCCATTGGTCAATTCCTGTATGTGCCCTGATTGGGAATGGAAAACCTCAGCCTTGGTGTATCAGGACGACACTCTAACCATCTAAGCTACCCAGCCAGGACCTTCCTTCACTTGTTTCACCCAGTCCTCCAATCCCCCTCTCATCTGGCAACACTCAGTTTGTTATCAGTATCTATGAGTCTGTTTCTATTTTGTTTGTTTATTTTGTTCTTTAGATTTCACATATAAGCAAAATCATATGGTATTTGTTTTTCTCTATCTGATTTATTTTACTTAGTATAATTCCCTCTAGGTCTATCCATGTTGTCACAAATGGTAAGATGTCATTCTTATTATGACTGAGTATTATTCCATTGAATATATGTACCACATCTCCTTTATTCCATCATCTATTGATAAGACTTGGCTTGCTTCCATATCTTGGCTATTGTAAATAATTGTAATACAGTAATTATAATATTGTAATACAGTAGACAAGGCTCACCTCCTCACACAACCACATCAAAATTACAACTAAAGTATATAACAATCATCACTCAGAAACATCAGAAATCAAGTTGAATGGAAGTCTGACAACTACGGAATTAAAGAAACCTCATCTATCCAGACTTGTAGGAGAGGCATAGACATGGAACAGGCTGGTTCCTCACACATGCATGGTAGATAAAAATTTGAGAGGGATATCTCAGGAGCGAGGAGTCCCAGCCCCACACCAGCCTCCCTAGCCCAGGGTGCCAGTGCCAGAAACATACATCCTCACAACTTCTGGCCGCAAAAACCAGCAGGGATTGAGTCAGTGGAAGAAATTTCTGGAGCCCTAAGCAATTCCTCTTAGAGAACGCACATGTAAACTCACCTACTCAGACTCTCTACCTCTGGACTCTGGCACTAGAGTGGTGGCTTGAGGGGCACCAGTGGTATATGGGGAAAAACTGAAGTGTCTGGCATCAAGGTAAGCAGAAGCCATTGTCCCTTTTCTGGGCCCTCCCCCCATAGAGCTGGCAGGCTGGTGCCATATCTGAGACTCCATCAACATGGCTAACACTGTTGGACCTGCCTTGAAGATCCCCAGAGATTCTGCCCAACTTTCAGGGCCACCCAAGCTGCTTTTCCATATGAATGGCTGGTCTTACCTCATGCTTCAAAACTTCCTAAATCCTTTCAAACAAGCAAGAGCTGGCCTCAGTGATCCCCAGGCCCAACAGAAGCAGCAGCCAGTCTTGACTCACAACTTGGCTTCACCTGGGAATCTCCAAGGTGGCAGAGCACAACCACCCTGCCCCCTGCACAGCTGATCCTCCACTGAGGGCAGAGGCTGATGGTAAGTGGTCACAACCAATCCTTGCAGCTGACTGGCCTGGGTAAATCTCTCCTATTGATATGCCAACAGTAACCAAGACTCAACTACCAGAGGAAGGTGTACTCAGCCCACACAAAGGGTGCACCTCAGGTAACCATCTTGGGTGATAGGGCAGGCTGTGCCCCTCCACCCTACGGGACACCTACTACCTTAGGCCACACTAACAAAACAAAGAGTCAAAGCAGCTCTACCTAACACATTGAAACAAATGTATTCTGGGAGACTGACAAAATGAGGAGGCAAAGAAACATGGCCCAAATGAAAGAACAGATAAAAACTCCAGAAAAAGAGCTAAATGAAATGGAGATGAGCAATCTATCAGATGCAGAATTCAGAACACTGGTTATAAGGATGCTCAAAGAAATTAGTGAGGACCTCAACAGCATAAAAAAGATCCAGAAACGAAGGATACACTAATTGAAATACAGAACAATTTAAAGGGAAACAACAGTAGAGTGGATGAAGCCAAGGATCAAAACAATGATGTGGAACATAAGGAAGTAAAGACAACCAACTGGAACAACAAGAAGAAAAAAGAATCCAAAATGAAATGAGGATAGTGTAAAGAGCCTCTGGGACAACTTTAAGAGGTCCAATATTTGCATAATATGGGTGCCAGAAGGAGAAAAGAAAAAGCAAGAAATTGGACATCTATTTGAAAAAATAATGAAAGAAAACTTCCCTAATTTGGTGAAGAAAGTAGACATGCAAGTTCAGAAAACACAGAGAGTCCCAAACAAGATGAATGCAAAGAGGCCCACTCATAAAATGCCAAAGGTTAAAGATAAAGAGAGAATCTTAAAAGTAGCAAGAGAAAAGCAGTCATTACCTACAGGAGAATTCCCAAATGACTGTCAACTGATTTCTCAAAAGAAACTTTGGGGACTAGAAGGAATTAGCAAGAAATATTCAACATTACAAAAGCAGGTACCTACAGTGAAGATTGCTCCTGCCTACAATGCTTTTATTTAGAATTGAAGGGCACATAAAAGTTTCCCAGAGAAGAAAAAATTAAAGGAGTTCATCATCACCAAACCATTATTAAATGAAATGTTAAATGGACTTTTTTAAGAAAAAGAAGATCAAAACTATGAACAAGAAAGTGGCAAAAAATACATATCTATCAATGATTGAATCTAAAAGAACAAACTAAGCAAACAAGAACAGAGACAGAATCATGGACTCAGAGAGCATTTTGATAGTTGCCAGATGGGAGGAAAGTTTGAGGGTAGGGATGAGGAGGTGAAGAGATTAAGAAGTACAAATAAGTAGTTGCAGAATAGCCATAGGATATAAAGTACAGTATAGGAAATGGAGTAGCCAAAGAACTTCCATGCATGACCCATGGATATGAACAATGATTTGGGGATTGCCTGAAAGTGTAGAGGATGCTGGGTGGGGGGAGGCAGATGGGGAAAAGTCAGGACAACTGTAATAGTATAATCAATAAAATATAAAAAAATAATGCTGCAGTAAACATATGGGTGCATGGTGCATATTATCTTTTCAAATTAGTGTTTTGGTTTTCTTTGGAATTGCTGGGTCATAAGGTAGTTCAATTTAAATTTTTTGAGGAACCTCCATATAGTTTTCCACAGTAGTTGCACCAATTGGCAGTCCCACAAACAATGCAAGAGAGTTCGTTTTTCTCACATCCTCACCAACGCTTGTTGTTTGTTGATTTATTGATGATAGCCATTCTGACTAGTGTGAGGCAACATCTCATTGTGGTTTTAATTTGCATCTATCTGATGATTAGTGACACTGAGCATCTTTTCATATGTCTATTGGCTATCTGTATATCCTCTTTGGAGAAATGTCTATTCAGGTACTCTGTCCGTTCTTTAACTTAATTGTGCTGTTTTGTTTTAGGGTTGAGTTGCATGAGTTCTTTATAAATTTTGGATATTAACCTTTTATCAGATGTATCATTGGTGAATATCTTCTTGCATTCAATAGGTTGTCTTTTTGTTTTGCTGGAAGTTTCCTTTAATGTATAAAAACTTTTTAATGTAGTCCCATTTATTTATTTTTACTTTTGTTTTCCTTGCCCAAGGAGATATATCAGAAAAAAATATTACTAGGAGCAATGTCAGATTTTATTGCCTATGTTTTCTTCCAGGAGTTGTGTGGTTTGGGATCTTACATTAAAGTCTTCATTCCATTTTGAGGGGGTTTTTTTGAGGGGGTGTAAAAAGGTAGTCTAGTTTTATTTCTTTTTGCATATATTTGTTCAATTTTCCCAACAGCATTTATTGAATAGGCTGTTTTTACCCCAATGTATGTTTTTGCTTCTTTTGTCATAGATTAATTGACCATATAGGCATGTGTTTATTTCTGGGCTCTGTTCTATTCCACTGATGTCTCTGTTTTTATGTTACTACCATGCCATTTTCATTACTGTTGCTTTCTTTTTTTAACATTTTATTTATTTTTTTTGAGAGAGAGGGGAAGGGAGGGAGAAAGAGAGGGAGCGAAACATCAATGTGTGGTTGCTTCTCACATGGCCCCCACTAGGGACCTGGCCTGCAACCCAGGCATGTGCCCTGACTGGGAATTGAACTGGCGACCCCTTGGTTCACAGCCCACGCTCAATCCACTGAGCCACACCAGCCAGGGCTACTGTTGCTTTCTAGTATAGTTTGATATTAGGTGGCATGACACCTCCAACTTTGTTCTTTTTTGTCAAGACTGCTGTGTCTATTCAGGGTCTTTTGTGGTTCCACACAAATTTTAGAATTATTTGTCTTTGCTCTGTGAAAAATGCTGTTGGTATTTTGATAGGAATTTTATTGAATCTATTGATTGCTTTGGGGAGTATGGACATTTTAACAATGGTAATTCTTCCTACCCATGAGTATAGTATATGCTTCTACCTCTATTTTTTTTATCTTTTTCATTTTCTTCAATGTCTTATAATTTTCAGAGTATAGATCTTTAACTTCCTTAGCTAAATTTATTCCTAGGTATTTTATTCTTTTTGATACAATTCTAAAAGGGGATTGTTTTCTTATTTTCTCTCTCTGTTAGTTTATCATTTCTATAATGTATTTCTGTATTAAAAATGCAACCAATTTCAAAATATTAACTTTGTATCCTGCTACTTTACTGAATTCATTTATCCATTCTAGTAGTTTTTTGGTGGAATCTTTAGGGTTCTCTATAAACAGTATTACGCCATCTGCAAATAATGACCAATTTATTTCTTCCTTTCTAATTTGGATGCCTTTTATTTCTTTTTCTTGTCTGGTTGTTATGGCTAGGATTTCCAATAGTATGTTTAATAAAAGTGGTGGAAGTGGACATCTTTGTCTTGTTCCTGATCTTAGGGAAAACATTTTCAGCTGTTCTCCATCAACTGGCTGTTGATTCTTTGACAAGTGGAGTAAGGGAAACTGAGACAAGATAATTAAACAAGGCCAAACAATCTGAACAATTTACAGCCAGCTAGTGAATCATGAGGTTTTATCTTTCCTAACAAAGGACAATTAGGAGTAAATGGTTTACACATGCCAGACTGTCCTGGGACAGAATGCCCTCAGTCCTGTTTCATTTTCAATGACATTCTTGATGATGTTCTTTAAAAATGAAACTAACTGGAAAATAACCTCTGACCCCTCTGAATGCACATTTTGATAAATCAATATATTGAAGGACACACCTGAAAAGTTAATGAATGTTCTGTTAAGACCCTCCCCTGAGACCTCCCCTAGGATTCTGACAGGCCAAGGAGAGATAAAAGCCTCAAGACAAAGAATGACCGAGTGCTCTTGCTAGAACACATCCACACCTTGTATCTCAGCTCACTTTCTCCTAAACCCTAAGGGACCCCACAAGACTTGCAACCAGGGGATCAGTGGGCAACAGCTTGTCCCACAATTACCCACTGAACCTATCTCCAAGGCTCTCTTTTTCTCTTTCCAAAAGAAGTCACTTTTCACTTCTTTTACTGTGACTTCTATTTCTTAGACAGCCAAAGCAGCCCACCTAGGCTCTCTACTGTTTCTTCTTCTTTCTTAAGCCCTTCCTTTGTTTCACTGTCCCCAGCTTTAATAAGCATACTCTCACAATCACCTGGACTCAGGTTGTGGAATCTTGCCTACATAAAGTCAAGAACCCACATACCAGCTGGCCTGAGGCGGACACACTCTGGGCCCAGTCTCAGTCCCATAACACCTTCAGCCCTTGTCCTGAAGCCACACAACTCAGTTTCTCCTTGTAGGTCTCTGTCCTACCCCCAACTTGTCCCACCCCTGGAGGCCAGGGTGAGTGCCTGCAAATGAGAGTTTGTGCGTGAGCTCTTTAAGGGAACACCTGAGTTTCCAGCAGCCTTCTGTTTCCCCTGGATGAACAAAATCCCCACTGATTTTCACAGCCAGCTGTTATGTGGGCTCCTCTTCTTGGCACTGGTATTCTAGGCTGGTGAGCCTGGTGTGGGGCCGAGACCCCCTCATTCATCAGGGGAAACCTCTGCTGCTGAGATATCCCTCTGAATTCTCAACTGCCCCATGTGGACATAGGGCCAGACTGTTTTATGTCTCCACCCCTCCTACTAGTTGTGATGTGACTTCTTCTTTATATTCTTAATTATAGGACTTCTGTTCCACTAGTCTTTAGATTGTTATACAGGTTGGTCGTTCTATAATTTAGTTGTAATTGTGATGTGGTCATGGGAGGAGGTGAGTACAGTGTCCTACTCTGCCATCTTGACCAGAATTCAGCTAGCCCCAATTGAGTGATATTTGATAAATAATGTCTGGTCTCACTCTCCCCAGCTGCAGAAATAGAGTGAAATCATCCATTCCTTTGCTCATTCATTTATCCATAACATACTTATTAAGTATCTACTATGTGCCAAGACCTGAACTAAGTACCAGATGTATAATGATAACTGTGATGTAACCCTGTTCTAAAAGGGTTTATGGTCAAGCTCTATGGTTTTCCATCTTTCTGCTTCCTGATTAATTAAGTTCTTAGAGTTTGACAGTCTTGGAAGAGTAATAAACAAGAGAGCTTCAGTTATGTCTGAATTCCAGTGTATAAGCTGTATAATACACCCCATTTGAGAATTGCTTCTCCATTTGGCTAGATCATAATACCTACCATTAACTGAATTTTTATGCTATGCCAGGCATTTTGCAAACATTATATTATTTAATCCTTATTGGAAGTTAAGTACTATGCCCTCTTTACAGATGAGGAAGCTGTGAGTCACCAGTGAGTGCATGGCATCTGTGATACCAGATGATTCTTCAGTGCTATAATTCTGAGTAAGGCTTTTAGGCACTCACTGGCTCTGTGACTCTGGACCAATTATTTAACCTTTTGATCTTGGTCTCCTTTCTTTATGCAAAATGAGCTTGTAGTGAAGGTTATGAAACCAGAAATGCCAGGGTTAGTTCTGCCTGTCACTACCAGAACCAACAGGTAGAGACAAGGATTGAAAATTTATGGGTACTTTATTCAGATGTCAGTGACCTGAGAAGATAGTGGGTTACATGCCTTCAAATACTATCTCAACATCTCATCTCAAGCTGACCTTTTTATAAGGAGAAAAAAAGTGAGGCAAGGGGTTTGGAAGAAAAAGTTAATAAGGATGAGTTGAAATCCAGTGGTGATTTTCCCAGTATTTCTTTATCTGCTGATCAACAATTCTTTATTTGTGTCACAGATGTTCCCTCCCTGGAACACAATGGCTCAGATACCATCTCCACTGCTTGCAAGCCCCCTGAGGTACAAAGGTTGGATTGCTTGTCAACCTCCTGGTGTCACGTCGCATCAGTCATGCATTCCAGTTCCTCAGATAACAGCTCTCCACATACATTAATCACTTAAGCCTATCAACTATAACTACAGCTAAAATATATGAGGTATCCAGCTCAGTTCCTGTAAAGCACTTTTGTGCCTTTCATTTCACTGTTCTCATCCAAGTGCAGATATTCCATAAATAGCTGGAGATGCCCTGGAAAGTTAAGACTTGTAGATTGGTGATTACCCAGATAGAGGAGGGGCTACTATATCAGGAGGAGGGAAGAAGATAGAAGAGAGGGGGTCAGAGAGAACACTCAAGACTCACAAATCTGGAGGAGGAAGTCACAGTTTCTAGAAACCCAAGAGGCAGCAGTATTCAGAAGACCTGGGGAAAAGATCCAAGGTTGTTCATTGTAGGGAAAGGATGGGAGAGAAAAGAGTGGATGGGGAGGGCCCTGAAATCAAGAATCAGACCCAACTGAAATGACACAGATCAAAGGTAGCACCCTGTGACAGTAAGACATACCTGTCCCAGAGGGAGGACAAACAATAAGCTCTCCCAAATAGAAGGCCTTAATTATTTATTTGCAAATAAATAAGCCCAGCATGAGGGTCAAAGCCAATACTCAGAACCTCAAGGTACAAGACATTTACAAAATTCAGAGTGACTAATGGAAATCTCCAGCATTCATAGTACTGACATTTGTTTTGTGCTTTATAGCTTGCCAAGTGTTTTTATACTTTCACAAGGTACAGTTGTGAGTGGTCAGAAGGGTCTGAGTTTGCAGCCAGAAGACCTGATAGCATTCTTTGACAGCTATGGGACATAGCCCAAGCCACGGAACTTCTGAGGACCCACTTTCTTCATTTGTAAAGTGGAAAACAAGTCCACCCATCCTACAGTGTTGTGAGGGTTAAGCCACAGTGCTTTGCACACATATTAGCACCAGTAGTGGGTGCAAGGTGGCTCTGCAACCCAGGCCTGAGAAGCCTTTCAACTAGTAGATCATCCTTCCATCCCCCACTGGCTTTGACCTTGGTCATTTCAAAACATGTAGCACAGGGTGATGGCCCTCCTCCCTGCACCCTCAGAGAATTTTAAAATGCTGAATGACTCTGGTTCTCTCTTGCTGGGAGGGGCAGCCAAGTTACCTTTCAACTTCTTACCACCACCACTGCCCCCTATCCTCCAGGTCAGCCAGAATGGAGAAGTCTAAACATAGTGACGTTAGAACCATATGGCTTTTGACTGGCCCAGTGAGCAGCGACATCTTGCTCTGAACAATGTGAATATGAGGGGATTGGAACTTTGGGAAATTGTGAGTCAGATTGAGGGAACTGGAAGTGGATGAATGTTGGACCAATTCAAGAGTTTCTGATGGCAGAAGGTTAAGCTTCTGGTGAAAGAATGTGATTGCATTGCCACTCCCTCCTGCCACTAGTGAGTATTTCCTTCAATACCTTTAACTTTTTGAGGTGCTCCCCACTACTGAGCATATTCCAGTTTGCCTGCAGCTTTGCCAGATGCATGCCATGTTAGAAGTTTTAAAAATCGAAATGGGGAGGTTCTATTTAAAAAAAAAAAAAACAACTTTTGAGTGATTTGTCAGTTACTTTCCTGGCCAACTTGAAGCTAAAATTCAAGAGATAACGCTCATCCCTTTACCCACTTGGTGGGCCAAAGTCAAGGAACATGTCCCTCAATCTTACCACCTTCAGCCAATGGGGTCGGTTTACCAGATTATGGAATCAGCACCTTGGAAAGCACAAAAATGGAATGAGATAAGTGAGGGATCAACTTTGGTGGTCATTGGGGAGCAAGGGAGCTGGGCAGGTCGAGGAAGAGAGGGGTCCCATCCTCAGCAGACCTTAACACTCTCTGCAGCGCTTTACAGCCACTGAAGGGCTTTCACATCCATCACTTTTCCCGCTCTTTATAGGGCAGAACTGCAGGTGTATTTACACCACTTTATGAGGGTGTGAGATGGGCGTCCTCAGACGTTAGGAGGCTGGGCCAGCAGCTTATTAGAGTCAGAGACAGTGCCGCACCCTTTTGGATTCCAGGTGCACGCTTTGCTTTTCCTGCCATCCCTTCTCTACCCGCCCGGGCTGGCACGGGGTGCCAAGCCCCGCGTGCTCAGATCCCCAGCGCCGTGCACATGTGCAGAGGTCTGTGTGCATGCGCTTGGTGTACACCGTGCACTTGGAAGTCTTTCCTTCCGCGGAGACCCTGCTGCCTGGCGGCCCCGAGAAACGAGTGGCTGAGTGTCAACTGGGCCACCTCGTGCATCCCCGGCACGCGGCTGACCTGCGACACTGGGGGCCGCCTGGCCCGTCTCGGCCTCGCTCCTTTCAGCCTCTCTGCTCCTTCCGTCTGTCGGTGTCTTCGCTTCCCACTCTTCATGGGTTTCCATTTTCCTCTGTCAGTTTCTCCGACCCGGTCCGCAGGGCCGTCAGCTCCCCACCCTTTTCCAGCTGCTCGAACCTGCAGGCTGGAGGTCGGAGAAAGGGGGTGAGGTCCGGGGCGACCTCACGGAGGGGCCTGCGGGGCGGAACTGACTCCCGGACCGAGCCCAGAGGTGTTGTGCGCAGGGTGCGAGAACTAAACCCGCATCACCCCGTCCACCAAACCCCGAGACACCTCCCCACGCTAGGGTGGCTCCCCGCCCAGGACAAGGGGCGGAGTCGCGCCAGCGAAACGGGCCACCCAGCTGGGCCCCCCCGCAGGGCCGCACCTCCGGGGGCGACGGCCCCTCCCCGCCAGCACCCCCCCCGCCACGCCGGCGGACCGAGTCCGCTCCGGATCCGAGCCGGGTTTCCTCCCGGTCGCTGGGGTCCCCGCCCCTCGGAGCCGCCCGCCCGGCCGAGCCCGCGTCACCCTGGGCGCCACTCGCAGCGCCCGGGCCCCCCGGCGCTGGGTGTGGAAGCCCGCGGGCGGCCCCTGTGCGTTCGGACTCCGAGTGCGGACCCGTGCGGTCCCCGCGCGTCACCCGAGTTCGACCCTCGGGACTCCGAAGTGACCCCCTCCCGGCGGGCGCCGTTCTGTCTGCGCGGCCGCCCGGCTCCGCCTCCCGGCATCCCAGCCCGGCCCGGGCGAGGTAAGGGGGCCGCGCGGCCCGAGGGGCGGCGCTCGGCGGAGGAATGGGGGCAGCAGAGGCCAGCGCCGCCCTCCCCCCCGGGGAAGAAAGCCGCTGCCCGCTGTGGCAGACCCTCGCGGTCCCGCGGCGCAGACACCCGAGAGCGCGTTCTCCTCGCGTGTTCGAGGTGCTCGCGGGCGCGCCCCCCCTCCACCTCCGTCGCCGCGGCAGGCAGCTTCCTCGCAATCCCTCTCCCGCCTGCTCCCCGCGCCGCGCCCGCACCCGGGAGAGGCTGCGGGGACAGGGGGAAGCCTTCCAGGGCAGGCCCCGTCTTCCCTGGCTGTGGCCCTCCGAGACACCCCTCTTCCCCACTCCGCGGCCCGTCTTCCTCGCCCCTTGCCTCTGCCCCACTTCACCTCGTCTCCCCCGTCTCTGTTTTCCAGATCTCTGTTCTCTTCCAGCCTCTCTTCTGGCTTTCTCCTTTCCTTGACCCCTTCCCCCATCACACAGCCCGGCGAAGGGGGTGTGTCCCGCTGCTTTCTATTTACAGTCTCCCTGGTGGGGGGGCGGGGGTGCAGTGCCAGGACTTTTTTGACATCAGCTGGGCCCTGAGTCACAAGGTGTCCTGTCTGTGATTCGGTATCCATGCCTCCTTCAGCTCCCCTCTCCCATCCTCTCTCAACCTAATCTCCCTGCCTGCCTTTGTCTCCTTTCTGCCTCAGTTATTGTCTTTTTGCTGTCTTTAGGTGCTTTGTGTAGCTGCCATCTGTCTCCGCCTCTCTGCTCTCTGCTCCCTCTCCTCCCTCTTCCATCTCCCAAAACCTGGGACCTCAAGGGCATCAGTATTGCAGGTGTGTGGGGTGTAGTGAAGGTGGAGGGGGACTCCCAGTATGCTCAGCGATGACTTCCATCACCCCTTCTCCCAAGAATGGTCATTCATCTTTATGAGGTTGAAAGAACAGACACAAGGAGGTGGAGGTATGGGTGGCCAGGGAAATGCTGCCCCTCTTCCAGGAGCTTGTTCGAGGAGATGCCTGAACTGCATTCACACAGTGCTCTGGAGGCAGAGAACCGCCTCTGCCTGGACGCTTCCTGGGAGTTCAAAGAGCCAGGTTGGAGGGGATCGTACTGACGGGTGGGAAGTAATCAGAGTGTGGAGCAAAGGTTGTGGAGCTGGCTAGTAACTTTGGGTTGGCCTGGAACCCCTGACCTATGTTTTCCCAGCACCCACCTCTCCCAGAGTTTAAGGACCTTGCAACATTTGTCTCCCAAAAAGAGAATAGAAGTTGAGGAGTGCCTTAGAGAAAAAGAGGGCTGATGAATTGACAAACCGTCCCCTCTTCCCTGTGACCCTGGGAACTGCTCCCTCTCCCTAACAAACAAGTTTCTCTGAGAGGTAGAGACGCCATTGGAAATGGTCTTCCCGTTGAAAGCAAGGGAGGAAAACAAAAGTGGAATGTCTTAGATCTGTTGGATGTGTTCCAGTTTACAAGTTGCTCACATTCCACCCCCTTTGGGAGCAGTGGGGAATTGCTGAAATTACCCCTAAACTACCAGTTTGTATTTTCCAGGGACCCATGAACAGCTGGTGAGGTTGCCTGGAGATGCAAATGGGAGCCACAGGTTAACCTGCTCATCTCTGGGACACATCATCCCCCGAGACTGATGCAAAGAGTCTGATGCTGGAGTTTGTTGTTGGCCTAGAATCTGCTGACAGTGAGAGGAAGGCAGTTCGGGGTTCCTACCACATATCTGGTTCTGAGTCAGCTCAGCCCTTAGCACTTGGGACCTCTGACTCCTGCCAAGGACCCAGTAATTCCTTTAAAAATATATTTATTTATTTATTTATTTATTTATTTATTTTTAGAGAGAGGGTAATGGAGGGAGAAAGAAGGGAGAGACACATCAATGTGCAAGAGATACATCTATCAGTTGCCTCTCACACACCCCCAACTGGGGACTTGGCCCGAAACCCAGGCATGTGCCTTGACTGGGAATCGAACTGGCACCCTTTTGGTTGGCAGGCTGGCACTCAATGCACCTAGCCACACCAGCCAGGGCAGGACCCAGTAATTCCTATCTTCACTCTTCAGGCTGGGTTTGGAGATCCAGATAGACAAAAAAGCTACACAAAATAGTTTCATTTTCCTGGCTCCCCCACTGGCCTGGGAGCCAGGAAAATATAGTCTTGGGTCTCAATGTCCTCTCTGTGAAAGGTATGGGTTGAACTGGGTGGTCTCTAGTGGCCTTAACAGGGAGTCTAAGATCCTCTGAGCCTGTGCCCTTGACAATACTGATCTGAGCTGTCTCCCCTGGAAGAGCCCTAGGCATCAGGATCACTTTGAAAAGAAAGAGGTAGATGGTGCTCATGTTTTGAAGCTTGTTTGTATAGCAAGCACTCTGTGTTTATGTAAGCCCTGTTTATGGAATGGAAGCTAAAATCACCCCTAAACCACCCCTTGGTACCCCTCCCAAGCCTAGGTCATGCTCTTGTTTAAAAAAAAATCCGACCCAGCCAATATTAGCCTTCACAAAGCAGCTTTGTGTGTGCGTCCCCCAGGATGTTGGCTAATGAGGCTTAAAGCAGGTTATGTGAGGGGAGAGTTATAACTGGCTGAAAAAGAGAGGAGGGGGATTTGGTTGATTTGGTTGGTCTGGAGGAGGGAGGTCTGGAAATAAAGAATCATCCGGACTTGGGGAGGGAACTTCCTCCTTGGCCCTATTTCTGGGCAGGGAAAAGAGAAAAGCTAGAGGCCAAATGGGGGCCAGATCCACAGGGGACTGACCCAAAAAGGAGACTTTGAGGAATAGAAAGGGCAAGGAAAGCTCTGTGTGGGAGACAGGGCAAAGATTACCAGGACAAATTTTAAAAGTAGGAAGCGGGGGAGGATATATAAAAAGAGGGCCTCCATCTTTAGAAGGAAGGAAAATGAGGAGGGGACACGGGGTGATCTTGGCGGATATTTTGATTGCTGAAGCTCCAACAGAACCCTTTTCAAAATGGTCAGCTCACCCTGGAGAGGAGTCAAGTATCCCTCAGGAGGAAGGAAAGAACGGTTTTGATGAGCCCAGAAGGGTCAGCTTGGAATTTTTTAGTGGGACTGTCCATCTGTCCACTCCTTTGGTTTATGTTTGAATACGTGTGTTCAGGGTGGAGGGCACTGGGGCAGCAATATAAAGGAAATCTGGGGCATATGCCCCCTCCCTTCACTCTGGTAGATAAGTGACAATGGCAGGAAAGAGGGGGTGGGAGTTGAATCCTTTACTTTCCACAGAAACCCTCCTGGAGGGGGAGTGAAGATAATGGAAATTTCTTTCTCACATTCTCACTGAGAGGTGGTAGGGCCCTTGAAGAGGTATCCTTCCATTACTTATGCCACCCCCTTTTTCCTTTGAGTTCTTGGGCTAACTGGGTATGGAGGGGGTCAGGGGCTAGTCTCTGGGGAGGTCACAGGGTCCTGAGTTTGTGAGTGTTCAGGAGAGTCCTGGTTGGGTGGAGCAGGATAGGACTGTGAGTTCTTGGAGCTGGTGGGAGGGGGTAGCTGGAGGCCTTCCATCCCTAGGGTGGGTGTGGGGAGCAGAAGGGAAGCAGAATTTGTGTAGGGAGGGATTGTGGGGACTGTTTATATGTAGAGCCAGATGTGGAAGCAGTGGACTCTCACCCCATGCTGGGTTTTCTGTTTTCTGCAGAATAATGAAGCTGGAAGCTGGAAGCTGGCTGTGGTGTAGCCACCTCAGAGGTCCCTAAGTCCAAAAAAGAGTCTGAGCCAGATGAGGAGCCACTCTCAGAAAACCTGCCACAGGAGGCCAGGTCTGGATCAGGGTTTGAGACTGTGGACAAGCCTCTGGGGGCCGAGTCAGGGCCTAAGGCCAAGGCCAAGTTCTTGGGGGCCCAGCCCAGGTCTGGATCTAGACCTGAGACTGAGGTTGAATGGTTGGACTCCCTGGGGGCCACAGAACAGGAGTTTGAGTAGGTGCTTGTCATCTCAGGGGGCTCCTGTGATGGTCTCAACTATCTTTCTAACCCCTGTCACAGCTGGCTCCGGGACCCCAACCACACCATGGTGCTGGCCAAGTGGGACAGAGGAGTGGTGAGACCCTGGGCCCAGGTGAAAAGGGGTAAAGCTACTTTTGGGTGCCTGGATCTTAGGAAGGAGAGGAAGCAAGCCTCTCCCTCAGCCCTTGTCTGGTTGCTGAGGATATAGAGCAGGCTTTGGAACCAAAGAGTAGGGCGTTCAGATCCAAGGGCCCAGCCAGTGAGCATGGGGTGGGGCACGTGTAGAGCTCTAAGAGAGGAAACAGAGGGACTGGTGAGAGCTTCAGTATTTAAGGGTTTGTTTGAGGGGTTTCTGAGTGCAGGAGCACAAAAACAGGGGAGCAGGTAAGTGGGGGTAAGCTAGGGGTGGGAGCAGGTAGAGTGGGGCCAGGACCCCTGAGTAGACTGACCTCTGGCACAAAGAAGGCCTGGTTGCGTTGGGTGAGCAGGACCAGTCGAAGATGGGCTCCTGGACAGAGCCTAGAGGAAAGGGGTGTGGTAGGTAACGGAGGGCGTGACAAGCTCCTGGGGGTGGGGCCAAGGAAAAGGGCGTAGCGAGTGGCCAGAAACCCGTTGCCCCCGGAGCTATGAGCATCTCAAGAGGTGAAAGTGACCCCAGCGAATAACCATTCTGCAGGCTCTGAAACCTGAGACCGAAGTGCTGAGGAGGGCGTCCTGAACTGGCTCCAGGTCTGGCCTGGCGCCAAGAGTGGTGACGAAGGAGGGCTCAGCATGTGGGAAGAGGCGAGCCCTATGAACCGAAAGGGGCGGAGTCGGGGAAGGGTTCCCCTAATGGCCTTGGTCCACAGATCGCGCTGGAGTTGGTGCACTTGATTGACACGGGAAGACGGCGCTGGTGGAGGGACTGCGCGTGGCGCCCTGGGAGCGCGGCAAGGGCGTGACCGAGCTGCTGCAGCGCTTCTGCTTGCAGCTAGTCAAGCGACAGTACCTGGGGGTTAAGGTGGCACAGCTTGCCCAAGAAGAGCCGCTGCCCCTCCGGGGGCTGAAGAAATACCACTTAATCACCAAGCAGGTGAGAAGGACACGGGCGGGGCTCAGCGTTCTCCTCCAGGCCCAGCCAGTCACCGACTTTCTTACTATACCGGCACTACCGAGTGGGGGCGCCCATGAGCCCAGCACTGGGACTCCCAGTCCTCACCCAGGCCCTTTTGCCAAGGGGAAGCGAAACAGCTTCCCACTCCCAGCTGTCAAACCCTCAGCCCTTACTTCCAGAGGCCGAAGAGCCCAGGAGCCTAGACTTCCGTGAAGCTGCCTCCCTTCAGGGACCCAAACATCTGAGCCTTTATTCTCCCCCCTCACCCTCCTTCGTCCTGCCAACTCAACTAATCTGCCTTCTCATTTCCGCTTCTCTCGGAGATTCAGGGGCCCACACCCTCTTTCCCTGGATACTGCATACTGACCCCCCCCCCCCCATTCAGAGGTTTTGCCCCTGATTCGACCTTGTTCCCCTTAGGGACCCAGGCTTTCACATATCCCTCTTCATTCTGCACCCCTGTAGGGCCCAAGTGGGAGCCCGGGGGTGCGAATGTGAGAGTGAAGATGCCGAGAGGCGCTGGGCTCGCCGGCCCTCCCGTCGCCCGTCGGGAGCTCGCTTGTACCCCCTGCAGGGCGTCCTTTTGATCAGATTCTACGCATCAATGCTGCTGGCAGGTCTGGGCTCGAGGCAGGCAGCGCTGGGGGTCTCAGGCACCTTCTCTCCCCTGCCCACCGAGGCCCTGTCAGAGGCAGGCGGCAACATGGCAAGCCTGCTGTCGCTCGCCCTCCATGCAGCGCGACGTGCTGCCAGGCAGGACCTTCATCGGGGACTGGAAGCCTTACGACCGAGAGCAGCCTGCGCCTGCTGGTGGCCAAGGGCCTGGAGTGGCGGGTGGACAGCCGCAAGTGCCCGCGCGTGATCACGCTATGCACAGGCCCTCTCCTCATTCTGCATGCCGGCGAAGGCGCGTGGTGCTGCCTCGGCGTAGATGCCTTTGGCTGCGACTGTGCTCAGATGCAGAGCCAGTTTCCGTGGTATCTGCAGCTCCAGACCCCGCGCCTCACCAGCCTCAACGTCTTGTGTCTGCTCTTCCTGGCGCCCCAATTGTGGTCACAGCTGGCTTATTTCTGCCAGCCGGCTTGGGGTCGAGTTGATCAAGGGTTACGCTGAGCAGTATCTGCTGGAGGCCGACATCTGAGGCCTCTACCATCTGAGGAGCACTTTTTATATTCTCTCCCCGACCCCAGCCCTAGATCCCCAGAAATCCCCGCTCTCATTTGCAAGATCCACCCCCTACCCTGCTGCCTATTCTAACCAGCTCTCCATCCTTCCCTTTTGCCCCTACCTCTGTCATCTTGCCTCTAACACTCCCGAACGCCGTTGCCCAAAGCCTGATCTGAGTCACCTGGCTTGAGGGATCCCCCATGTGCTGCTATTGCCCACATTTTCCCCTTCCCGGCCAAAGAACCTGTACCTTCACATGCTTCATAGCTTTTTCCTGTCCCTTGTCCTAGCCTGGGAGTAACCTCTGTGCTTTCTGGCTCTCCTTTCTGCCTCCTCCTGGCTGGAAGTGGGCAGAACTGTGTGCAACGCCCAGCACCTCTCCCAGAGCACAGCTGCCCAGAAAAAACTGTCTTCCTCGTGCTTCTTCCCAAGCCCTCAGAGCTTGCCCAGTGCTCCCCTCACCGCTCTCTTAGCCTCTTGCGCCTCCAGACCGGTGGCCTCTCCCTCCTCTCTGTACCCCCATCTTCCTCCTTCCTGGACCTCCCAGACACTTAGCTCCTCATTGCCTCTCTGTTCACTTTCCCCGTGACCTTTATCACCCACCCTGTGTGCAATATGGAGAGGGACCCTGTAAATGAAACAGATTTATAATGCTCTCCCTACTTTGGCCCTCTGTTTATGCTCTGCTGTTGCACCTTTCTGATGAGGGTTTCCTCCAATTTTGCACGATGTTGCTATTTCACAGGGCCCCTCCGTGATGTCCCCCAACCAGTGGCGGAACCAGGAGGTTCAGGCTGGAGAGTTGTGTAGTGGAGCACAGGCCCCTCAGCCCATGTGGGGCTGTCTCCTGATTCTAAAAAGGCTCCTTCTAGTGAGACTGCAACCCCTACCTCCAGGTTTTTCTGGACAGTCCTCCCTTCCTCTCGTTCCTTTCTGCTTTTTGGACTTTGGTAGTCTTCTATTTAAATACAAGTAGTAACAGCTGTATCTCCACAGTGCTGTCTTCTATACTGCATCCTCACATCTACCGCAGAGGGAGGAAATAGAGGCCCAGAAAAATCAAAGTGACTGCCCAGTCTCTCACAGTAGCTGGGAGCCTCGCAGGGACTAAAACTGAGATGTCCCAAGCCCAAAGCATGCCTCAGAGCCTCTGACGGTGGCAGCTTGAACTCCTTGTTGGATGGTGGAGAGCTACATTGACAGCGAGTACACGGTTCGCTGGGATGGAATCCGAGACGTGGGCAGAGGAGGGCGCCGGAAGGTGGGAAGTGGGCACGGAGAACCACTGCCGTTCCAGTTCCGGCTTTGCTGATGTGCTCCTCTACCTGCTGCGTCCGGCCCTGCGGCCGCCCTTCCAGTCACTTCAACCAAGGCTGTGTTGCAATAAAACGAACTCAGCCCACCATCTGTGTTTGTTTTACTTCTTCTCAGTGGAGAGGCACGAGACGCTTTATCCTCCCCCTTCCCAAGTAGCCTGTGTTAGGGAGGATCTCTAAGCCTTGTGGCAACGGTGCTAATGACTTTCTGGAGGGGAACTGGGAAAGGCTGCATGCCCTTGCGCACCCCCATCCCTACACCAGACAAGCGGCAGAAAGACGCGATTGCGCTAAAACAAGGAGGTCAGCAGCGCTCCTCCCTGGCTAGACCCTGGCCTCACTTTCCTCTGGACTCGGGAGTACTCTGCTGTCCAAATTCTGTGGGCTCTTCCTCCAAGTACCCCATTGACATCCAGGACCACCTCCCTTAGTCCTGCGACCCAGGCGTCTAAATCATAGCTCTCTACTCTCTCGTGGCCAGCTCTCTCGCTTTCTCCATTCCTGGGTGGGCACCGCGGAGAAGTGGAAGGAGGTGGAGGTAGCCTGGCGCCGCTTGCCCAGGAATCAAGCTCCGGAGCAGTGAAGGCTGCGATCCCGAAAAGTAACACGCGGGGGCGCTAGGACGTGTTCGGACGCGGGTGAGGCAGTGCAAGGTGGTTTCGGTCCGTGTGTGTCCATGGGCGTCTTTGTGTGTCTGCGTTTCTGTATATGTGTGTACAAGTAATGGGATGTCTGGGTAAGATATGTTCGGGACAACGTGGCTGGTGTACCCCAGAATCAGGTACTCCAAGTGTCTTTTTGATGAGGGTGATGCTTGATGTGTTGCTATGTACGTGTGGATGGGGAGGCAGGGAACTGTGTGTGTGTCGTCGTGTGTGCAAGGCGTAGCCTCTGAGTCCCTGATCCGTGTTGTGGGTTTCTGAAGTCACATACCTTTAGGGTTTTTACCCCTCTATCCCATGTAAGAAGAATGAAGGCTCTCAAAGCCAATCTCTATTGCCCTGGTCACATCTTCAGCACAGGTCTGCATGACCCTGCCAGGCTAGGTGGGACATTGTGTTTGTGCAATGGGTGTGTCTCAGGATAGCAGTGCAACTCTGAATGATAGTGTGTTTTATGTGTGTGACAGGTGGGTGTTGGGAGGAGGTCGACTCAGGTTTGTGGAAGTAAACAATTTCCTTTTTCTTGTTAGTTTGTGGATATCACCTTCATGGCATGTTTTCCCTCCTCAGTCTCTCCAGTACTTGTCTCTCTTCGTGTCTCTCCTCATCTCTGTCTCTTTCTCTCTCTCTCTCTCTATCACTCTCCCTTTCTTGGTGACTCATCTCTGCGGCTTTGCTCTCCCTCAGGCTTCCTGGGTCTCCCCTCCCCCATTCAGGACTGTAGGGGGGGTATGAAGGAATAGGATGGGGTAGTGAAAATTTGGGTGAGCACCCCCTTCCTATTATTTATAATTCCCAGACATGTCAGTGGCCCCCTTCCCAGAACTCTCTCCCAGTCCCCTTCCCAGAACTCTCCACTCTACTAAACTGGGGTGGCAGGGGATAGGGCAACAATGCATTCTAATGGGGTCATTTCCAGGGGGTGCCTCATCACCTTCTTTCTGTTCAAAGTGGAGACCCCTGTCCCTCTCATAAAGTGCCCCCACCCTGTCTGTCCCCCACCCCCATCGCTGACGCAATGAAAGGCTGCAGAGGTGAGTCACCATTTGGGGGGAAGGGAGGGAAGGGGGACCGTAAGCTTCACGGGAAAGGGGGTGTTGGTGGGGATGGAGGTGGGGAGAAAAGCTCTTGCTCGCTCGCTCTCTGTCTCTCCCAAACTTTCTGGGAAAAGACCCAATGCTCTGCCCCCTCCCCTGGTTTTCCAAACCTTTAGCTTGGATCACCACTCTGCTGGACCCCACATTCTCCTCCTACTCTACTGGAGAGTGGGAGATTCAGAAACAAAGACAGAGAGAGATAGATATATACATGCAACTCAGAGCAAACACCACACGTCCCCTCTGGGTCCTCACTTCAGCTTTGCCTTTTCCAACTCTGTCTCTCCATTTCTCTTTCTTTTCTGCCATCTCCCTCTCTCCCTATCCCAGAAACCTATCTTCAATCCAGCAGGGTACGAAGAGCACAGTACATCTCCAAGATGTAGAGAATGTGTGAATAAACTGACCCGGGTGGGGAACTGGAGAGGAGAGAGGCAGAAGCAGACCCAGAGATTCAGCGACCATGCTGATAAGAGGGATCAGACCCAGATTGTGGAATCACCAAGCCTATTGCCATTGATACCCCGGGCTTCCATCTTGCTGCTCTCTCATCCACCCCATGAAGTCTGGGACTCTTGGGATGCTAACTTCTGAGCTATTCCCCTGGGCTCTTGGGCTTGAGTGGAGAAAGGAGTGGGGAATTGTGGAAGAATGGAGAAATGGAGGAACACTCTGAAAACGAAGGGCAAGGACCTGAACTTGAGGGCTGCAGATGAGTGGCTTGGGCACTGAGGCTTCATGGAATAGAAAAATGTTAGTGTGGGGGAGGGGTGGGAAAGAGCAAAGGCACATAAAAGTCCAAATAACCTCTAACATATACCATCAGGCATGAGAGAATCCAGAGAAACGGACAAAAACACATATGTACTGACACATCTTACTGACACACCAACCCAGGCACACCTTCCAGACACCAGCAGATGCCCAGACTGGATACATGCAAAGAATCTTAACTACACAGGTATACTGACACTCAGAAGGGATCGGAACCCACACACACTCGCTTACACACAGACACCTGGAAACAGGCAAAAACACAGCCACACAGATTCGAAAAGACTACGTATTTAAAAGGGAACACTACCATGCCCATCCACTCTTGGTTCCTCCAATTCTCTCTTTTTCTTTCTTCCTGTTTCACTAATCCCTGCACACACACACACACACACACACACACATGTTCATGCTCACATATGTGTGTGTCCACATGGAGGAGCCCACAGTAACACAGTTTCTCTAGGTGTATCTCCCCTCATCTCACACTTGGTCTCTCAGCCCCCTCAGCCTCCCAGTCTCCCCCTTGGCTCCCTCCCCTCTTTCTCGCTCTTGGATGACTTCCCCTTCCCCGCTCCAGATGTCAGAAGCATCTCTCTCTGATTCATCCTCCTCAGGAAGGTAACGTGACCCCTCCTCATCCCAACGCTCTCAGTAACCAGGCTGAGAAAAAAGGGGGCAGGTGGGGAGGGGAGAAGAATGAGGGGAGCCCACAGGGGCAGGAGGAGATCCCAGACTGTCTTGTGGGGGTGGGGGTGAAGTAGTGCAGTGGTCTGCTGTCCCCTCCTCTCCCTCCTTTCCTTGGCATCTCCAAAATCACCTTGGCTTTCCGTTTATTCCCTCCTTTAGCCGGTTCCTTCTACCTTTCCAGATTCCCTCCTTCCTTCCTCCCTCTCCTGCTGCCTTCTCTTCTCTCTTTCCTCTCTCTCTCTCTACTCCTCCCCACCTTTTTCCTCGCAGAGCTGATGGGCTTTCTTCTGGGAAAGTCGAGCCACTGATGGAACCGAGAATCTACTGTTGGCTATAGAGGGAAAACACGTGAGTGACTGTGTATGTGTGAGAGAAAGAGAGAAATGAGGGTCAGTGCTAGGAAGAGATGAGGAGGGGGCTGGGAACTGGGTCTGACAGTCTGAACCCTGTGTGTGGCCATGGGCACCCGAGTCCGCAGTTCTTGTGTGTCTGGTATGTGTCATTTTAACTCCCCCCTTTCCCTGCCCACGCCCCCGCACAGCTCTTTGCCTGCACTGCAGCCCCCCTCCCTCCCCTTCATTCCTGCAGTGGCTGCTCCCCTTGGCTACCACCCCTCTCCCCTACCCCCTCCCCATTTCCGTCCCCCTCCTCCACCCCCCCGCCCCCCGCCCACGGCTGGTCTCCCTTCACTGGACCCGGCTAGCTGATGGATTGATTCTCTTTGCGCAATCTGTGCGTCATCGTCCCCCACCCCCCGGAACCTCTAGCTGTCCAAGCCCCCAGCCCCAACCCCTCAGGCTAGAGATACGGACGAGGGGTATGGTGGCTGTAAGGGGCGATCTCTGACGTTGCACACCCACCCCCACCTCCTGCATCACGTTCAAACCTTCCCTTTAAGCAGTGGAGAGAGCTGGAGTTGAGTCACCCCGCCACCTGCGCAACCCCCTCCCCACCTGGTTGCTCTTGCCCTCCAAACGTCCTTTGGGGGGGAAGCAGCAGGAGAAAAAGAAGCCGAAGGGGGATGGGGAGTGGTGGGCTGGAAAGGGGCACAGCGGAGGTGCCAAGAGACGCTACAGAGTCAGCTGGACAGAAGGACAGACACACCTTTTCCTTCAGACATGCACCGACAGTGTACAGACACGACACAGGGGCACAAACATCCTCAGACTTTCCCCTTTCTCTTAAGACTTGGACCCTTTTTGGTGGGATTATCAAAACCGCAAGGTCCACCCATCTGTCCCGGCCCAGGGCCGGCACCCTGCATCGCAGATCCACGAACAGCGCCTGCAGGCGCGCAGATCCGTCCCTCTTTCTCAGGTTCACGCCGTCCTTGGGCGTGTTCCCC